TTAATTGCGGGATTGTCGTTATGAGCATTTAATTGTTTCTTTTATCTTTGAATGATTAGATTGATTTGGTAAACTCAAAAGCATATCTTCGCCTAAGCAAGTTAATTACTTTGAACGATTTAATCCTTGACTTTTGTTGGTAATTAAATTTGTGATGATAATGTTTTGAATAATCTTCATTTTAATTTCTAATTGCAATTCCTACCTTGATTCACATCACTAATCGACAAACTAGACACTAAAAAAGGTGGCACAACAACATCTTTTACAGCATGGGTGTGAGTTAAGCACTAACAGATTCAACTGGATCCAAATACCATGCAGAAAAAGTATGAAAATTGGGCCAAAAACTCAGAAGAACAAAATAGAGACACCAATACAAATATGTAGGTCATAGAAGAGAAGGAAGAAAAAGGAAGCCACAACATCACCACAAACAGCTGCAGCAAGCTCTCAGCTGCAGACCGCAAGCCAACCAGTCTCATTCAGCCTATTCAGGTCCGATCGAGCAACCAAACCAGATCTTATATATAAAATAAAGCCAGCAGGCCCCTAGTATGTTTAAAAACCCAAAGCTGCCGTAATTGAAGGTTATGGAATAAAATTTCTACTTCTTCTCTAAAAGAAGTTTTTGCACCTACTTGAAAAATGTTCTACCCTTCTTGACCCATCAAGAACCATGAAAGTGTGGGACTAAGGCTCTCAATGTTGAAAAAATTAGATGAAAAGATTTAGAACATAACATATTTTGTTTCACCTTTCCAAGTTAAATGTAGAACAGGTTTGATTACTCAAATCTCGAGACAATCATGGCTAAGATATGCAATCTTTATCGTAGTCTATCATGAACTGTTTCAAGATAAGGAATATAAATTATTCAATAATAAGGCAACTAAGTGTATGGAAGGAAAACTTGACCATTTATTTTGTTGAACTTTTTAGAGCATTTATATAGCATAAATGAAAAAAAAGATATTTATAATAGGGAGCTTTTATCAATGACTTAATATACAACAATCTCATTTGTAATAACTTCAACTCTCATCTATCAATTTGTATCCACTTCAGTCCCACATCAAATTCTTCTCCCAACCAGATTAAAGATGCAACGACGCGTCTTCATTACCCATCATTTAAGCAAGCAATTAGGAAAAACTAAGTGCCGCTGACAGTGAAGGATCGATTGAATCAAAGGAGCAGGGGATGATTGGATCGAGTCTGGCATGCGGCAGAGGGCTGTGTGCGGGACGGAGTTGGATTTGGAGACAGACCGGGACAAGATCACACAGACATATTGGGATTCGTGTGGGAAAAAGTGTTGGTCGGATTGGAGACATGGTGCCGAGGTGCGGGAGCAGTCACTAGCACATAGGAGTGGGTCGGGTCGAATTGAGGGAGCGAGAGAGGAGACTAGGCTCGGCTGGGTATCCTATGTGTTGAGTTGGATTTGGCACGGGGCGAGCTGCTGGTTTGTAATATGAGGAGGTCGATTGAAGGGCTGCTCATGAATGGGATATTGGTAGTAGGTCGATTTGTAGAGTTCAAGTGATTGAGTTTGGCGGCTATATAGTGGGGTGGTGCTCTCAATTGGAGTTCCGGGAAAGTGAGTGGATGAGCTAGCTGTTGTAGAACGTGCACAAGTAAGAATAGTTGTCGTGCTAGGGAACATGGAAGAGAGCCAGTTGAACTTGCTACGTGAAGCAGTCGATGGACTTTTGTCATGTGAGCAGCAAAACCAGAGAGAAAATGAGCTCAGTTGGAGGAGTTCGTGTGAAGCAGAGGTGAAGGCTTGAAGAGGGTTGGTTGGTAAAGTTGAGGAGCTCGAGCATATGGCCTAGAATTGGGTAGAGAGAGACTTTGGTAAGAAGGGTTCGAAATACAAAGAGTAAGAGCGGGTAAAAGTAGAAAGATGGGAGGAATGGAAGTATCAGGTAGATTTTTTTATCAAGTGGGTGGCAGAGATAGGATTGGGCGACTGAGGCAACGATTTGAGCAGGATTTTGGCATGGGAGAGACAGGATATTGATAATATAGAATATCAATTTTATATTTAACTTATAAAATTTAATTTAAATAATAATAAAATGAATGAAAGAGATTGATCCTCATGCAATTCCTCGTTTTCCATGCATCTCGATTTTTGTGACACCACCTCGAAACTCTTGCCAAATTCGTCTTTGCGCTCGCAAGCAATATTACAATTGTTTTTATATGATTTTGATGTTCCGGACAAAACAATGAAGTTCATTTTGCGAACGGATGACATGCAAGCAATGTCAAGCAACATTTCTTTCGTAGCCGATTTCGATCGTCTTCACTAAAATTGACTGTGAGCTGTTATTCCTGGGGTAATTTTGATATTATGAGCGCAACGGTGAAGTTCGCTTCGTGATCGGGATGTCATTTGGGTCGTTTCATGCACCGTCAAGCTTGTTAACAGTCATGCTCATCGGTCACCCTCCTTGGCTTACATTAACTTTTGGAGTATAGGTGGAGGTCAACAAAAACTAATCTAAATTTAAATGAATAATGATAAAGAAGCGAAGGGGGAGAGGACAAAGAGGGGAATGAGAAGCAAGAAAGAAGTAATAAAGAAGCAAATCCCATGCTTGAGCAGGGAGCTTCATCTGTCAAAATGCTTTGAATCTTTCATGTGCTCAAAGATTAGAATCCTGAAAGAAGAAGAATGGTTTACAAATCCAATGAAAATTGTTATTAAATCAGAGAATTATCTTACATGCCTCAAAACTGATAAAAGCTAAGAAAATCATATAAGTCATAGGATTCACTCGGAAAGCCGCAAAGTAGTTTCAACAATCTACAATAACTAAGAAACCCACAAGATAGACCCCACCAAACAAACCGACCACAAAAAACATTAACCAAAGAAAAAAGAAGTAGGAATAATCAAAAGGATAACTCGTAAAGTGAAATCTCAAAAGCAAGAATAGGAGAATAGACTACATTTAACTTTGGCCAAATAGTTTTTCCATTTTCGTGCCTTACACAATAATTATATCCCTGCCTTACTGTTGCATCATCTAACATCTGTTGCGCATGCTCATTTACCCAAGTCAATTTTCTATTACATTTTCCCCTCAATAGCTGCAAATATCACAATCTCTCCAACAAATTCATATTTACAGAACCATTTATGCCACACATAACTAGATTTACTTTTTTTTTTTGTGGTTCAACTGTTTAGAAAGCTTAGTTGTTTTGTGTTTATTCAATAAAATTAGCATGTCTCTATCTCATATCTCATAACTCATAAGCAATCTCACAATTTTTGTGACTCCACTGTGATCTATAAGCAATCTCCTCATCTACATCCCTCTCTTAAAAATTACTCATCCCCATTTTTTAGTAATGCTCTCCAAGTTGACTTCTTCAGTCCTTCACAACTCATTCTTCTTATAACCATTGTCTGCTTTAACAACCAGTAAACCATACCTTGGATATTACCATCCCGGTAATTAATAAGCATTAATATGAAAAAAATGAGAGAGAGCTAAATGATAATGAAGTTTTACCTAATCTAGCATTGAAGCATAATCAATCACCCCCAACTATTTAAAGTTGTCTTTACAAATTCTTCTTATAATTCAATCTCAATGGGAGTTGTATCAAATGTTATCGTTAAACTAAATTAACTAGAAGAACTAGTAATCAATAACCTTAGATCTAACCCTCTCAAGAAACTTAACACATGAATTTGATACACTTGCCTTCTTACTTCAGTTACACAAGCTTCCCTTTATACGCAGCTAGTTTATCTCAATATGTTTTCTAATAGCTGTTTATGAATAATGCAATCTCATACTTCCTATAAAATCATTTAAATCTATATGTTGTATTCATTCATAAAACAATGTAATGTTAAGGCACCAATGATTCTATAGAATAAACTGCATGGACCAAAGACCAACTACGGTCTTTCAAGTCAACAAACCATTAACAGCTTTGAAAACAGACTAAACAGATAGACTGCATATTAGCATTATCAAACTGTCCATCATTGGCAAGATTTTAGTACGTGCCCCTCGCGCCCACCACCACCCCACCCCAATCCCCCCCCCCACAACCCAACCCCAAAAAAATTTCCCTTATAAAATCAGTCAACCATTGGCTGAAACATTTTTTTTTTTCACTATCCTCTCTACTCTCTCTCTCTCTTATTGCCTTTTTTTGTTACTGAGGCAACTTTTTGTACTTGCTGCCCTTTTTCCTCTCTCCCCATCTCTCTCTCCTATATTTATTTTCCACTATCTCTTGTGAGGTTAGCTATTTTATGTTTATTTTTTATTAGACCATTTTAAACCTTTTTTTCTCATTTATTTTTCTCTCTTTATTTCTATATTTTCCCATTTTAATAATTTATCTTCACATTACTAGTTTTTTTTTTAATTTCATCAATTTTTTTTATTTTAAAATTCCCAAATTCTTTTAAAAAAATTATATAATTAAAGTCAACAAATTACACTAGAAAAAGATTACAATATTTAAATTTAAATCAAGTAGCTTAAAATAGGCTAATTATAATTTTTATATTTTTATATTAATAAGATGCCGCTTTTTTATATATTTATTGCTCGTTATAAAACATTTTTAATTACTTTTTATTTAAATTAGATATGAAAAACTTAATTTAGATATTTAAAAAAAATTAAAACCCTAATGTCAATTTCAAGCTCGAATGAAAAAGATTGATGGTATTTTGTAAATTAGAAATTTGTCCCTGCAGATAAAATAATCCTGACACCGCCACTGATGTCCATAAAGCAAAGGTGAGAAATGAACATTACCTGTTCTTTAAGATCGGGTCCAGAATCGGACTCATGCTCAGGCCTTAAACTTCCAAGGTATCCATCCACAGACTCCGTCACGTGCACCCCACCACATCCAATTAGACCATTTAAGCCTTGTGTGGAGTTTGTTACTGTAGGAAGTAATCCAGTGTCACGTTTAAAACCATAGAACTTTGACGCAAGGCCCTGGGAATCCCTCCACGTATTCAAACCCTTTGCTCTCTCTTCTAGAGCAGCAATAACTGTTGGCCTATGCTTCTTTCTCAACTCTAATAGCCTTGTTTCATTTATAGCTTGATAACCCATGCAAGCTGTCAAAACAAGCTGGCTGCTGTCAAAAGTTGAGCCAGCAAGTGACTGCAATAAGGTAACCCCATCTCCAGCATCTTTTGTGGTTACCAATGCAGGACCTGCCAACCATAATATTTCAAACAAGTAAGCTCCATTGCTGATAGTAAAAGAACTTATGTTAGCAAAATCTAGTAATTATAAAAGTAGCAAAAGCTGCAAAAGCATAATGAAGGGTTATACAAACACCAAAAGTTGAAAAAGAATAATAACGGTAAAAAACAAGTACCATATAACTCCATTAAAGCAAGAGCGGTGCGGAATAGCATCACACGGTTTCCTTCAAAAAGAAGAACATCCCAAACGCGAAGAACTGCGATAGATTAGATGATATTATGAGATCTATATATTGGCATTGATACATACACTCTAAAGCAAATCATGAAAAAAGAGGGGTTCAGGGGAAGGGGACAAACTACAAGAAAAGTATGGCTTCAACCTAACAACCCAGTAAGAATGGTTTAACATAATTCAGAACCTGACCACTTTCCCAAGGAAGCATATTCACAAATATTGAAAGAAACCAAGGTCCAGTAATCCATGCTACATCCACCCCAAGGTAATCCAAATGATTGGCTGCAGCAAAAAACCAGAAATGCCTGATTACCAAATCTATGAGTTTAATTATGTCAAATTAGCATGAAAATAGGAAATATTGTTTGATTTGTTCGTGAGTTACGTACATAACTTTGGGAATCTGTCGCGAACTAGCTCCTCCAATAGAAGCTGATCCACCTGAAACGAGTTTATTTTTAGAAAGTTTCTAACAGTATCAGCTAAATCCCTACACTAGAAAAGTTCTGAATATTCAAAAGATGAAACCACAAGAAAAAAACTATTGCAAGATAACTGTGAGCAGCAATGTAAAATCAGAAGTTACCTGAGATTCAATCATCTCCTCGGAATAATAACCATCAAAGTAATCATCAATAATAGCCATTAATGTCCTAAAACAGTCATAATGAAGAGATTAGTGGAACTACTGGACAATAAAAAACGTTAAGGCATCTAGGATTTGAAAATTAGAGATTAAACATCATGATGCACCGTGACAATGCTTCTCGATCACTCTTTTCTAAATAACCTAATAGGCTATTGGTTGCAAGTATTTGGAATACATGCATATTCAAAACATAGTGTAAATTAAATATAATATTTTTGAAATAATCAGAGTTACTTGGTTAGCTTTAAAATAAATTCAAAGTTTTTTTTTTTTTTTGTGTAGTAACAATCAGAAATTTTATATGACCACATTATTTTCAATATATATTTGTATGTTAACGTACTCTTATAAACTTTTTAAATTGGATTTAGGGCACGGTAACAAAATGCAATGCTGAAACATTCGATGGTGTCGGCGGGATGGACAAGGATGTGGAGATGACGAAAAGGGGAAAGACAAAGGTTGCAAATGCGCTATCGACACCGAGATGTCAGGCTTTGAGGTGGCAAGGCCACGCGGATACATGGTCGTGGGGTCAACACCAGGATAGCTAGTTCAAGAGAGAGAGAGAGAGGGAGAGAGAGAGAGAGATGCCAAGCCAACGAGTTTTCAAGCATGTGATTTCACAATGATGCAAGGTTAAGAGGGCATGAGTTTGGAATTTGCATGACGGGTGAATTCTAAATCATAAAAAAATGGCATGTTGGAAGTATTCAAAATCTCAGAGAGAAATACTTAAAATTTGTTTTAATCATAACCAAACACCTAAAAATTTAAAACCCCTGCATTTCAAATGCAATACTCCAAAAACTCACAACCAAACCATCCCTAAAGCGTTTATTCCTTCAACTCCATAAATCCAAATAAAATAAAAGTACCAAAATGCATTCTCCTCAGGCATCAACAGTAGTAGAAGACCTGCAAAGAAATTCATAGCCTGCAAAGCACGGATTCAAAAACACAAAATAGTATATTAAAAAATAGATGATGAAAATTTTATATGAAAAAAAGAAGACATGAGTGGAAAACTATTAGACTGCTTAGCACAAGCTAAAATAATGAAGGGGCGCCCCATTAAGAAAACTTATATCAACAATTTACTAATATTAAATGTTCACTTTTGAACAAAGTATCGAATACATTTTAAAAAAAATGGTTATTAGAAGTTTATCAAATTTCTGCGAATTTAAACCATAGTTTTGAAAATCATCTGCAAACAACTAAATTTTGGTTATTAGAAGTTTATCAAATTACTTTGAATTTACACCATAGTTTTGAAAATCACCTGAAAAAAACTAAAAATTTGAGTTACCAAATGATTTTTGTAGTATGAGCAATGAAACTAAAAGACTTTTCGTTTTGAGCTAAACTAATTGCGACACATTAAAGAAAAAAGTGTTTCAATTTATTTCTCCTGGTACAAGTTTAGAACCACCCATTCCCAGAAAAGCCTACAGCATAAACCACAAAACCAAGCATTTTCTTCCTCGATGTATGAACAAAACTTTATCTTTAACAAAGAAAAATAATAGTAATCATGAGTTAAATGTTAAGATTATTTATAAATAAACTCTTTCATAAAATATAATTTAGTATAGTCATTCATTTAATAATAATATATAATGAACTGAGAAATTTAAATTTATTAGATTTATTATTATAAATATTGGTACTACAATTATGCCTCATAAACTTATAATTTAACACATCATATGCAAGTATATGGTAACCTAATTTAAATTTAGTTAAGATACCTAGAGAAACAATTAATTTAAAAATTATTAATTATTGGAATTTTATTAGTATATAGCATAGAAAAAATATCTAAAACATAGTTTAAATAAAAATCAGAACAAATAAATAAAACTGCTAACGAACACTACCGGTAATTATCAAGACAACTGATAATAAAACTAAGTTATTTACTGACCGATTTCCTTTAAGGGCACAAAATAGATTATATTCATCAAAATTAGGTTTAAATGATTCTTAAAATGGCTATTTATAGTGATAGCATGATCTAGACTATTACTTAATAGTTTACAATTATTACAACAACAACAACAACAAGCCTTTATCCCACCACCGGGTTGGCTACATGAATCCTTATTCTCTATTGTGTTCTGTTAAGAGTCAAATCTCATTTAAATGTAATAAAGAAATGTCATTTCTAATATTTTTTAATCAAGTCTTTTTAGGTCTACTTCTACCTTTCTTAACATAGGTCAAATCTAATACATCTACTCTCCTAACAGGGTCATCGGAAGGCCGGCATTTTACATGACCAAACCATCTAAGGCGGCTCTCTCAAATCTTATCTGTCACTAGAACTACTCCAACTTTTTCCCGGATATCCTTGTTTCGCATACTGTCTCTAAGAGTAAGTCCACTCATCCACTTGAGCATCCTCATCTCAGCAACACTTAAATTAATATTATGCTTCTCTCTTAATGGCCAACATTCTGCGCCATAAAGTATTGTAAGTCTCACCACCATCTTATAAAATTTTCCCTTAAGATTGAGCAGTACTTTTCTATCACACAACAAACCCAAAGCATTCCTCCACTTCGACCATCCAACTTGAATTCTACTAATAACATCCTCATCTATTTCACCATCAGTCTGAACAATAGACCCAAGATATCTAAAACGAGTACACCTATTAATGACTTGATCGCTCAAAGTCACAAACCTCCCACTAGATCTATTACTACTAAAATTACACTGCATGTATTCGGTTTTAGATCTACTCAAACGAAAACCTTTAAACTCTAAGGTTACCTCCATAATTCGAGTTTACTTTCAACTCCCTCTCTAGTCTTAAAAACAAGAAGAATATCATCAACAAAAAGCATACACCAAGGTACATCCTCTTGCAAATGTCTAGTGAGAACATCCATGACTAAAGCAAAAAGATAAGGATTTAAGGCTGATCCTTGATGTAATCCAATTGAAATAGGAAAATATTTGGTCAAACCACCTTGTGTTTGACACAATAGCTCTTACATATATATCCCTAATAATTAAATTAGACCTAAAAGAAAAGGCATGAAGGACCTAATCAAATAAAGAGAAGCAATAACCATTATCTAATGCTTTAAATGCCTAATCAAATATTATTATGATGGGTAGGATACGGATGATGACGATGAATGGCTCATTACCTTCCATCAACTCTCTACTGGTGAGAAGAATTTGTCTCTAGAGAAATAAAATCATGATGGCGACATCCACATCAATGAACAAGATATTTGTGAATGCCAGATGGCCCAAGAGGCAACCTCTCCAATCAACCTCATACTCTATAAGAATGACAGAACTAGACAAGTTACAAAGGAAGCAAAAACTCCAACTAAAACACTTAACAGGAATTACTTGTGAATTAAATTTACAATGCAAAGGCAAAAGATCATTTATATTAAAAGTAAGATTAACATGAATGTCAAGTGGAAAATCAAACATTAAAGCTTTAGAATCAATCATCATAATCTTTACTACCCTTATCCCAGCTATTAGAATAAGTTATATTAATAGTCATTTTTCATTTATTTATGTTCAATGGTGTATAGAGTTCTTAATGCTATTTTTCATTGATCATTTTGAAAACTTTTATCCATCTTCATTTGAGTTTACCTTTTCTTCTTCCTAATTTTTCAACACTAATCATATCAACCTGTCTAAATGGCGTGTTCCCTGTTTGTACATGTCCAAATCACATACGGTTATTTTTAACTATTATATATTCAATATATATTACTCAAAATATTTCTCTAATATAATCATAGGAAATTAATGGAAGATCCTATGGTTGACTATTATTTACTTTTTAGTCCTTAGACATTCTTGTATTATTTTTTAGTCCAATATATATATATATATATATATTCAAGTTTTAGCAAATTACTATTTTTTATACCAAAAACATATCTTTCTTTCTTATGACATGCGTGCCCCTAGTTATACTTTCTATCCACCCTGTACTCACTTCTCTGAATCTGGTTATTTACTGAAAACAACTGGCTATTGTTTTACATATGATAATTTTTGTATGTCTGATAATAATCTAATACAATCCTTTAATAACCAAAGGACTTCAAACAATAACCAAATTGAAAAGATTTAACAGACACTTGGTAATAACTATATCTAATTCTTAATAATCATATGCTACCAGAAAATAACTAAATTGAATGAAAAAAAAACTATCCTAACGCATTGCAAAAGTCAAATGTAATCCTACAGCGTGAGGGATCCGTGAATGAAAGCACCCACCATAGCTTTGTCAGGATCCACAAACCCACGGAAATCCTACAGCGAGCCTCTTTTATCGTGGAAAGCCTCTACAGAGGAAATGATTACTTGTTTCTATCTTTTATCATATAACAAATCGAAGTGATTTACTAGCTCCTAACATTTTTTTCTACAAAGAAATTGCATTTTGTTAAATCTTTTTGAAGTTGATGATGTTGTGTTCACCCATACTCTTCAAAATTTTCACAACTCAAAAGTAAGTTTTTTTCTTTCTTCAGCAAATAGGCAAATTTACGGTTCATTCTTTGTAAAAGGTCCCCCACCTGAGATCATTCAGGCTGTGCTGTCAAGCAATGGAAGCCATCCATAGAGAACTAGAGATGACGAAGGAAAGCATAGTCTTGCATCTCAAGTAATATAATTTAATTTGAACGTACATTCTAAGCGATGGTGGAGAACATTTTAGAGGCATAAGAATCAAGAGGGAAATCTAGTTCTTCCATGGCGCTACAAAACTTATTTATGTTTCCTTTGTGATCCTTTGTGGATAATTTTTGCATTGATAATACTTTTTGTGGAACTTGATTTTATTTGCGAGCACTTCAGTCTCTTAGCTTTTTACGCCACAATATAAAACAATATAGCAAAACAAGCAAAAAGAATTTCAATGTTAAAAACAAAGCTCCACCACAGGTCTGCCAAACAAAATCAACTTTTCAACCGCAGCTTTTCACCGCAATTTTTCTAACAGAAGCTTTTAACATGATTTTTCAAACAACAACTATTGTACCAAACAAAACTTAAGTTAGATTTCCTTAACTGATTTTTCTCCCTTCTCATAAGCAAAACTGTGTTTTTTCAATGAAACTAGAATGCTAATAACATCACATCTAAGGCCACGTGAAACATCTTTCCAAACCATATAAAGCCTTGCATCAAATAACAAAACCAATAAAATGCCAGTACAAAAGCAAGTTAAAGTAGCTACCTAATAGGCCTAGCTCAGTAGACAGTAATTTAATAAGACAGCAGTTAGTGACCGTTACCAACATAATTAACAAAAAAACAATTACTGATGAATAACAGTACTATCAATTTAAATCATAACATATAAGTTCCTACCTGGCAATAACCAACAGATGGATTATGCCGAGCATAAGCCGTGAGTAGCCTCCTCAGAGCATTTCTTCCATCCTCATCCAACGCAGGATGACCGGGAAACGTCCTTGGCAAGTCCTGTGATTGGTAAACACATAACATGCAAATGAAATCTTCTCAAGCTCCTGTTTTGTCCGCAATGGCTTGAACATGTTCATAGAATCCCAAGTCTAAACTTTGAGATCCCATGCATATAGTTACCTTCTCAATCTGCCCCTTCCATTTTTCAGTTGGAGTTGCATTAGGTTTATTTGGGCCATCACTAGCATCATTCAAAGCACAATCATCAACTCCATTGCTATCGACATTTTTGGTTTCCGAAGCCAACAAGTTTTGGTAATACCCTTCCTCTCTGCGCTTTCTAATACCTGCAAAGGCCTGCCATATCTGTGGCCACAAAAGAAGATAAGTGAGCAATAGGTAAAGGACATAATGTAGTAGCAAGCTTTGTGTGAAAGTTCCACCTCTCCTCTAAGAGCCATTGGCAAACCACCACGCACAAGGAATTCCAGTTCTTCCTTCCAAGGGTTGGGTTCCAACAGCGCTGCCTGATTGGCCATATTAACGGATGAATCAGCGCCACTTCCATAACCAGAGGACACCTCCTGGTTCACATCGGATCTCTCTATATCATAAAACTCATCTTCAGAATCCTCCAAGGACTTTGAGGCTTCATTCAGAACAATCCCGCTTGCAGTCCTCCCTTCATCTCCCTTGTCACTCAGCAAGTATGTCTTCTTCTTTACACGATGGCTCATCAACTGCTCGATTGCAGCTAGAGAAGGTCTTATCTGAGACCAAATCTTAATTTTGTGTGCCCTCTCCTCTATTTCCACTGGCTCCTTCCGCATGGCAGTTTCCTCACTGCCGTCAATTCTTTTATCTCCGCTATCATCTCGATCATCTTCCGATCCACTACCTGCATCAACAGGCAACGCTGCTTCACTTTCCTCACCGGCAGGAGCATGGTTGAGCTCTGGTTGACTCTCAAGGAATTTCTTCCATCGATCTGATCTCTCTTCTTCCTCCTCCTGGAGGTGTAACAGCAAAAAAAGGTATTTTCAGAAAGAATAAGCAAAAGTTAAAATCAAAAGCAAACAAATAGCAAAGGAAACATCACCTTGTAGATGTTGGCATACTCTCGGTATCTCTGCAAGTGCTGAGGTCGCACAGTAAATCCATACGCATCCCTGATCAGATCTATGACCATCAAATCAGAAACAGATCAAAGCAAATCGATACCCAAAACCCCTCACCAATGCGAACAGCATAAACAATGTGAAATAAAAATAAATTCGAAGAATAATCTAGTAATGCAACTTAACCATTGACAATAAAACTAAAAGGAAAAAAATTCACTACGGGTCAACTTAACTGCCTTGCGAAATGGCCAAAAAAATAAAAATAAAAAAACAGAACTTTCACCACCCCCCACCCCGGAGGTATGAGACCTAAAACCCTAATTCCCAAGCCGGTACAGTCAGCACCGAAACAGCGAGAAATATCTCGCGAATATAGCTATCAATCAATCAACCGTATACCCAAAGATCACCGGGATTCAGAATTTCACAGTCAAAGAACTGGAAATTCGCTATCTCGAATAACATTCCAAAATAGGTCGAAGAAATGGAATCCTGCACGTGGAAGGAATCAAAACTCGCCTTTTATGATCAAAAGTGATGAGAGGAAGGCTTCTAGCCTTCATCTCCGGCAGGTACGTGACACTACGAGCGCGTGTTTCGCAGGGGCGATGGCGACAGATGCCGAGGAAGTTGGAAACGCCAAAGCCGTCGACCTCGCAGTTGACGGCGTCGGTGGCGAGGAGACTCCGGGGCTCGGTGAGGTTGGGTGAAGCGCAAGCAGAGCGGAGCTTGAACAGAAGAACCAGAGAAAGAGTGATGTGGCCGCTGAGTGACAATGGCAATTTAGCGGATATTGAGATTCAGACGGGGCTGTAATTATACTAATGAAAAGCTGAGAAGCCGAAGATAAGTCTCGTTCTTCTTCCTTTTTATTAAAAAAAACTAAATAAATTTTAATTAAAGTCTTAAAAATAATACAAATTTAAACAATGGCTCTTTATTATGTTAAAAACCTACTAAAATTAATTAAAATATTCATTTATTAATTATTTTTTATTTCTTATTTTATATTATCATTTCAATTATTTAATTCGTTTTCATTATTTCTTGAAACCATATAGGACATGTTTAAAGCCTTTCTCCTGTGTACTTATTTTTTTTTTTAAATAAAAACAAATAATAATAATAATAATAAATCCTATGAAATTTTCTAAAAATTATTTTGAAGTTAGAATAGAGAAATAATAATATATGACAGCTTAGTTGACGTGAAATTAAAAAATTTCATGCAAATTTTTTTATTTTGGAGTTTTGGAAATTTATTTACAGTTAAAATTAAAAAAAATATATTACATCTTACATAATATTTTATCTTCTTAATTTATATTCAATATATTGAGTTATTGACACTCTTTTCTCATTCTATTGCCGTGCTTGACCTATTGAGAAAACATTATAGCGGTTTATTTAATTTAGAAATTTTTAGTGTAATGTATTTCAACTGTGAAATTTAAAAAAAAAATTGTGAAAATTTTTAGTTTTTCAATTTTTATTTGCGATTAAAATAAATTTTAGGATTTTTTTGAGACTTTATAATGCATAATTTATGTTATTGGATTTTGAATTTGTCTATTTTTGAGAAATTCTCTAAATATATCATATTGCATGCACTAAAGATGGTTTCTACATTACCTCCTATTATGTACAGTGTACAACAACCTCCTACTCCTAATTCTAAATTCAATCTAAAGGTCTCATATATATATATATATATATATAATTGAAAATTTACAAAAGCCTAAATTGTGATTTTTTAATAGTAAATCTATTTAATCATGTGCTCTAGTTTTTTGAGGGCCTGAGGAAAAAAAAACCTCAGGGGGGTTAAATTGGGCAAATTATTCTGTGCGGACACCGCACGTCATTCAGAGACCAATCAGAATGCACCACATCACCCCCGCTCGGTACCGCTGTTCAGTATCGTGTTCCATCACGCACTTGGTACCGTGTTCAATAATGCTGACGTGACATATTCAGATTAGTCTCCGGATGATGAATTGCACTCGGTGTCCACACAAAATAATTTATCGTTAATAAATTGAGGAACTGGCCCATATGCATTGATATTAAAAAAGGTTTTAAAAAAAAGTACAACTCCAAAAAATGAAGTTACAGTAAATGTGGAGCTGCAATAACAAACAGCCTAGCAATGCTAAAATACAAATACAAAAGCAGAAACAGAGAAAATACCAAAAATGTCTAGACTCAGACAAAAGCAAAAACACCCAAGGGACCAAAAAAAAAATCATCAGTAGCACTCTCTGTTGCCATAGGGAATCCCAAGCAAAAGCTCCCAAAATAAAAATATAGTCAGCAGCACACCCAAATGCCAAGGGGAATCCCAAAACCTTCAATGGAAGTGGTCCAGGTGACAAACACTTGTCATCATCATCGAGAAAGCAAAAAACGTAGTCTTTGGATGCTGCCAAATGGGAGAAATTATTTTGTGCGGATGTCAATCACAGTTCTCCATCTGGAGATCAATCAGAATGCAGTACCGTGCGGGGGTGATGTGGCGCATTCTGATTGGTCTTTGGACAGCATTCGACGTCCGCACACAATAATTTGCTGCCAAAAAATGGAGAAAGGGACGCTCAAATTAATGCTAGAGTAACAGATGAAAGTTTTGCCATTATTTCCATTTATGAAGTTTGAGATGTATAGCCTTCCTAATACCATATTTAACAGTATATAAACTAAAAGAATGATTGTCAAATCCTCTCTCATCTCTCTCCTAAATATAATAAATAAGAGCCCAAATAGCTAAATAAGAACTAGTTTTAATTGCATAAGGAATATTCACATGGTCAGACATTAAAATTAAAATTTGTTTCGAGCTAGGCCTCAAATAAAAGGAAGAGAAGCATGGAATAATATTGCATACAAAATTAGAAGATAAAATATTCTCATTCACCAAAGTAGCAATGGAATTCCCCCTAATCCATGGGTTCCAATAAAAAGATAAATTGGTATTCAAATTTATCCTAAAATTCATAGCTTGCTTCATAATCTCAACAATGCCTCGAATAGGCCTCCACCATTTATAACCTTTCACAATGTTACCATTCCAAAACGAGAAACACTTTGCTTTGCAATAAGTGTTGAAGAGAGACGAAGTAGAGAGACATCCAAATCAAAACACAACTATAAGCAAAAGATGAATCATCAAGATAAGAAATATCCAAACCACCATATTTCATAGGCTTACAAGTGTTTTTCTAAGAGAACAACTGTAACTTTCTGGAATGGATATCACTGTGATATAAAAATCTTGCACAAAGCCTGTTAAGGTGATTAATACAAGTTTTAGGTAAAATAGCTTATCTAATCCAAAAGACGATGGTGTTAGAAATAGTGAATTGGAGGTATTGAACTCTTTCAGCACAAGAAAGGATTTTTCTTTTCCAACCGTCTAAGAGGGAGGAAACTTTGGTGATTAACTAGACATTTTCAGCCTTTTAGTATAAATAGGAAAACCAATGTAATTCAAGATGGTTGATTCATAAGGGAGGTTAAGAATGGCAGAGAGAGTATCATTGAAGTCGGTATTCTTAGATAACATAATGGAACTCTTAGAAGAGTTAATTTTGAGCCTATGGACAAATTAAATGATTAACCACTAATTTGGCATTTAGTATTTCTTTAGACAAATCTACATAATTAGCGTTAACTACCTTGAAAGACAAACTAACACCGCATTATCGACTTGAGAAAAGAAATAATATATTTTTGTATTTGAATTAGGCATAGGGGATATGAAATTCATTCCAGAAGAAAGTATACACATGCATCTATCGTTTAAAATACGAAATTAACCCTGGATTAGCTTTAGTAGATGTCTAGAAGATTTCTCTCATATCTTAGTGAACTAAAATAGAGTTTATTTTATATTAGGATCTTGGGTTCCTATAGAGGCAAGCCCCTACAATCAATTACATCTCTGTAGATTAAACTTTCAATTAAATGAAGATTATACTCATTATGGATTTAAAACATATGATAGTTGCCTTACATATTGTTGAACTCTTTTTATGTGTTTTTTGCCTCGAGCATGTACGATTGACTTGATTGGGCCAAATGTGAATTGGTGTCGATTCAACTTGATTTCATTATATTGCCTCAGTCAAATCGAATCAAGCTTGAATCGACCCAGATCGAGTCAAATTACACCCTGCTACGAAAAATTGAACTCAATCAATGCATATTAGCCTCGTCGATTTTGATTTGACGCGAATCAGAGTTGACTTAATCTCAATTTCATTAAGTAAATTTAATTTGACCGAATTAAACTTGAATTAACTTGAACCGAGTCAAATCAAATTTGATATGGACCCAATTTTAGCCCAATTAGCTCAACTTAATGCTAAGTAATGTCCAATTAACTTTCCAATTAATTTATAAAATCTTTCACTAAATCAAGAAACACAATCTAACAGGCCCGATTCATTTGACTTTTGAATCTCGCGCGTTGCTTCCCATTAGATCTCATAGCAATCCGTGTTTTACAGAAGATAGGAAAGTAGAACCATAAGGATTAGCTTTGAATGTTGATGTTATGATTATTATTGTAATTGTGCGCTAGTATATTTTTTTGTAGGGTGATTATGCAAATTTTATTTTTAAAATGTAATTTTAGTTGAAAATTTTTGTAATTGTGTGGGCATTTTAGAAGGTAGGCAAGCAAAACAGTTGTAGATCAATTAAAGCCCCACACACTAATTCATTTATGTATAGATCTAGGTTGTGTTATAATTATGTTAGAGCTCAGCTACTTTTTTTTCTGGGGTGTATTGCAGAACCCAGATGCATTTATGACCATTGTTTATTATTTAATTATTGTGTGTTTACTTTGATTGTGCATTAGAACTGCATATTTTTTATAGGTTTCTTATTTTATTTTGCTTGGGAGTGGCTCGAATAGAGTTAACGTTGAGCTATTTATGATGTTAAGTTTTCTATAAAATTAAAATTTGTTTAACCAAGATAAAAATGAACATAGGATTTAAAATCAACCCTTTAAAAACAATTAATGCATGCTCTCTTATGGGTGGTCACTTTTTAAAATATAATTAATGTTTCAAACTTGTTCACTTCATAGTGACTAATGGCTAATCCTTATTAGCCCTACATATGCATGTATAACCTGAGTCAAAGCTTATATATTTTCGTTTATAATATAAAGGGATAGTTCACTTTACATAGTATAGTACCATTCATGGTTGGGCAAGATGTCATTTCCCTTTTGTGCCTTCTACCATTATTGCACGTGCATAAGCCTGTATTTCATGGATTTGAGATGCTATGTAGAGTCTAGCTCGTACCCCTCTTCAATTAGGGTAGTAAATCCAGGTCGGGACTTCCTAGATCCCTATTCGGGTTTAGGTTATAAGTTCCTCCACGGTGTTTGGTATTAGTTAAGTGGTTGGCATTAGTACCGAGTGTACAGTATGTCATTTATAGATCTCATGTCAAAGACTGGTGATATATGTATATTATTATATGTCTTACCACTGGATGGGTTATCCATTCTTCGAAGGCTGTAAATCCTACACATCCATGTCACATTGATAGTGTCACTTCTATGTTTCTCCCATGCGTGCTTGGTATGAGATAACTTCTCCCTTGATTTCTCCTATTTGGAATGGTCGAGTAACTATATGATACATGTATGTTGAAAAGCCCGATTGTACCCATATTCTATTAGATTATGAGAGCCTGGATATTCCATTATGCGCCAAACTTAAAAGAAAATAAAATAGAATTCTTAATCGAAAGTTTTCCTAAGTTGAGGCCTAAGATGTAAATAACCATGAGGGCTTACGTTTGTGGGAAATC